CTGTATCAGTCTGTTTTGATAAGACAAGGAAATGGGAGATTTAGATTAGATACTAGGAAATACGTTTTTACAGTAAACATTGAAGCAGGCTCCCTGGAGGTGTGATGGATGCTCTGTCTGTGGAGACATTCAGAGTCCACCTGGAAAGGGCTCTGAGCAACCTGATCTAGCTGTAGGTGTCCCTCTTCATTGCAGGGGAGTTTGACTAGATGGCCTTTAAAGGTCCCTTGCACCTCCTAGTGATTCTGTGTAAAAGTATGGCTTTTTGTACTCAGTCATACAAAAACAAATAGAGGTCTAATTGAGACTGTTTACTGTCTATGGTGGTTATAGAGACTACATCTCTTCCTTCTGCATTTATTCTTATTTACTGTGTCAGTAATCTGGATATCAAATGATTTCTTAGCGCTTTTACTGGGGTTGCAAATTGTCTTCTCTAAAGTGGCTATTTATTAAATAGAATAAATTAAAATTTTGAAGAAGTCTCTGTAAATGGACTTTTGTGATTGCACCTGATGTTCAGTTGGGTTTTTGTGGTTTCCCAGGCTATTGAATTTCCTGAATAAATATTTGTAAAAAAATTTGGAATGACTTTTGAATCTGGAGACCTGATATGGCTCACTTCTTTGATTATGGCAGTCTCTAGAAATTGCTGAATCAAAGTCGAGGGTTGTTTAAAGAGCTCAGGCAATTCCTTCTGGCTTAAAAATCTGAATATATGCAGAAGTTGAAATTTTTGCAAGGGTGGGACTGACTTCTAGTGTCGTAAGCAAATGCTTAACATCTGGAGTCAGCAGTCTGTGTTCTTACATTTGTGTTCTTTTATCTTCTCGTCTTGAAATGATTGCATAGTTGCTGAGGAATATCAGACGGTTACTGCATTCCAGCTAGCCGTGATTCAGTGAACTGATCTGCTGTATGTGACATAATTCTATAAGGGAGTAACAAGTACTTGTAATTTAGATTAAACATGTGCTTCTTTTTGTATTGCCATTAGTAGCTTCCTGATAACTTTACCTGATAGATTTTTTTTTTTTTTTTTTTTTTTTTGAGGGGCTTATTTGCTCTGTCAGAGGTGATTAAGCAAGAACAACTCTCTAAGGGGAGCACTGTTTGGAGATAGACAGGTAAAACATCCTGCTTATCTACCTACAACGTCTCTTTTTCAGTGTTGAAACTGCTAGTAGTGGAAATCTGAAAATTGTCATGGAAGTAGCCCTCATTGTGAAGCTCTTTCAAGTGCTGTAGTGAAAATTGGTATTGATTTGACCAAGTTGTGACCTTTTCAAATTGCACACTTTGTATGCAGAGGGTTTTCTCACTTGCTTAACTTGCAAAGTAGGCATCTGAAGAAGGCTGTGAGCTCTGTGACTCTCAGGCTTTGGACAAACTTGCTGAAGTTTATTTCCTGCAGTTTGTTCCTGCACCCTCAGAGCTGTCAGATCAACTATGTGCACAGTTTCTTTCTATCTCAGTTCTGTCAAAATATGGGACTATCTGCTTATTCCTGACTTCTTGCTTGCTTTCTTGTAAAGCTTGGATCATTTCAACAGAGCTAGGTAGAAGGAACTGCATATAGTCACTCTGGCAGATCTGTGAGTATGGCGGCCTCAGCCCAGGAGGTCGTGTTAATGAGTGTGAGGAAGCAATGCTTAACAGGGAGTTGTTACTGTTGGGAAAAGTGTGTCGAACTCCAGCCATAACTACTGAGAGATATGCTGAAGACGCACAGTGAATTAGGCAAGGGACTTCTCTTGAATTATAAGGAATGAAAGTGACAGCAGTCTAAGAATTCATTGTCTTAATCTTGGATTATTGTTTTGAACAGTTTTTTAGGAGTACTACAGGACTCTCTTCTGCAAAACTTTAACTTACGCTTTATGAAGGTATAACATAATGGTTGCTTAATGCTTAGTTAAACCCACTAACAACTTGCTTAATACACTAGCTTGTCAATTCTTTTTTGCATTGGTACTGTGTAATAAAAATTCTGGTTTAAGCATGAGGTAACATTGGAAAAGTAGTTTCCAACTGTATGAATAGCTTTAAGGTACATATGTATGACTTGATCAAAAAACAAAATATCTTTTTATTTTTATTTTTTGACAGGTAACTATCACTGTTATTTAAATATTCCATTCATTCATATGGGTCTCTTACTATTTTTAGGGAAATAGCATGAGAGGTTATAGATAAGAAATAAGTTTTAATAGGGTGATATAACGTAGGGAAAAATTTGGGGTTTCTGATGTTAATTTTCTCTCTGTCCTTAGAGAAAATAATTGATGATTACAGCATTGATCTTTCTTGATAATAATTTAAAAATATATGGTTTTTTTGTTTCTACTTCTCTAAATATGGGCAGAAAAGGATAACAATTGTGAGGAAGAATAAATGACAGCTATGCTGTTGAGACCCGACGGAAGTCTAATAGGTAAAACTGTATTTAAAAGATGTGTGCTAATGTAGTTCTTAAGGAATTTTTTTATGATAAAAATTGAATTATGAAAGAAAATTTCTGTAAGTCTTACAAAGTCGTGACCATTAATAAATCTAGCATGATTAAATTGTATTTCAAAAGTAGAGTATTTTCTTCCATTTTGGAAGGGCAAATGGCATCTCATGTACATGATAGCATCAGAGCAGTTTCCCAGAAAGCACAGTATTTCCTGAAAACCAAGGAATGGTATGTCCTGTAAGATATGGAAGCCTGATAACTTTTTTCTACTGCTCAAGGAAATATCTTCTGCCGAAAATATCAAAGTACACTTCCATTTGCTTCTTAAAAGCATCTGTAGGTCTGTGCCATTTGGGGAAAAAAAAAATTAAAAAATTAAAATAATATATGTAATTACTACATACGCGAAAAATTCAAGCAGATCCATTTCGCTGGTGGATTTTAACAAATTTTCAAAGCATCAGTGTTAAAAGAGGCCAAGTTACATCAGAATTCGGGGAGACTTCACTATATTTTCTTAAGCTTCAACCAGTCTTCAAAATGCTGCTTGTTTACTTGTTTTTAGGTTTCTAACATGGGAATCTGATTGTGTGTGACAATCTACACCTTTATTATTATTATTAATAATACTATTGTTATCCTTTCTCATCAGAATGTACCACCACAATGCCAAAATGTTTATGTTTTGGAAAGTTAAAATGACATTTCAAGGCTTCCTTAAACTCATTATGCTATCTGAGAGGAAAGATGGCTTCTGAAATGTTCTGTTAACTTTTCACGATTGGTGTTGTGGTTCTTTGCGTCGGTCATGGTGATAACAGAAAAGCTAAAGCTTTATATCCATGATACAGACCTTTCGGTAATTCTAATCCACCAGAAACTTCTTTACTGTGTTCTTTAACATTCTGTCATATATTGACTTATCTAGGCAAAGCATTCAATAAATCTTAATTTCTCAAACTACTTTGTGCATTCTGTTCAGGTTATTTATTATTTGTATGGAGTAGAAGGCATGCTGTGCATTGACTTGCCCTTTGCTAGGAAAGGTAGCCATCTGCTGTTGGTTCCTCATCTTTCAGTGGCACATTGATTTAAAGTGAAGGATTTCCCTCAAATGGTTTGGAAATAGCTGTTTAGCATGCACTACAATTATTAAAAGCTCAATTGTGTGCTAATAAATAAGGGATTATTCCTTGTTTATCTTTAGATAACGGTATGGCCTCTTGATACTATATTCAATTTGTATACAACTTCCAATTATAGTAAAACAGTTACACAATTGTATTTCATGTTTAGTGCTTTTTGTCAAATACCCAGTGCTCGTGCATTCTGAATTCTGTGCCTTTAAGTTCTTTTCTTACTCTTGTTTTTCTCTATCAGAAATGGACATTGTTTTTCATTCTGTTGTTTGTTGTGAGAGTGGCTGTTTTGTGTATATAATATCCAAAAACTGGTCACCTTGGTAGTAGAGACATTTCTGTTGGGATGACACCGAGCCTGAGAAAACCTTTCTCTGATTTACCGCCCTTCGTCTTGAAAACGCTCTCATTTCAGTTGTTCCGAAATGGAAACATGCCTCTAAGTTGGTCACATCTGTTCATGGGTCCTTAATCAGATACTCTAGACTAAAATCAGCACTTTAAGATAGAACATTAAGAGAGGGGCTTGTGATATTACCTGATCACTTCTCATCCTCGGGACTTTGTTTTGAACACATCTTCCAGTAGGCAGTGACACCCAAAGCTTTCACTCCCCAGTATCACTGTAGCTGGTTTCTTTGTTCCTGCTGCAGCAGACACATTCTTCTGCTTTGAACCCTGGACCAGAAGCTGTTACTCTGTGGACGTGTTCAGTGCTGCTCTGGTCTCCTCACACTGCACTGACGCAAATTCTGATTATTTTTGGGTGGTGGGCAGTAGTGTATGTGCATAGACCATATGGTATTTGTTCCCCTTGATTACAGTTAGCTTTTTTCTCATATGTTGTGATATTTTGCTATACACATCTGAGTTCTGTTTAACTTCTGGAAGCTGCTTTTGTTCACTAGAGTTAGAGGAGCGTGCTTGGGTGGGATACTGCAGTTTTGTAGTAAACTTATTAGTAGCAAAGGGTATGACATAATGCAATAGGTTAAACTGTGGATTGCCCTTGAAAAGAAAATAGTAAAACTGTCTCAATTGTTATTGTTAAGGGTGCAAGTAACATAAATTGTGGGTCTTTTTCATTAAAATCATTATGGGGATTGAAACTTGGAAAAATTGCCTTTAAAAACATTTATTTTTTCATGAGCACTGACTTTTACCTTTCAAACAGGGAAAGCTGGATTGCATGCATGGTAGTTATGAGTTTTGCAGTAACTTGACTACTAGCTTGAGGTCTGACTGTACCCATATTTTGTGTACTTTCCATTCAACTTAGAATCTTTTTAAATTTTTTGAACAGCAGGTGTGCATTGCTTATAGATTTGTGTAAATGTCAATACACCGTATACAAAATATGTCTCCCATACGATGATCTGTTGACATTATTCTCTATTGCTTAGCTTCAGACAGTAAAGTCGTGACATGTGCTGCTGTTTGGAGGATGCCGAAGGAATTGGAATCAGGCAGTCATGAATCCCCTGATGATTCATCAAGCAACACTCAAACCCTGGAGCTACTCTGTCACCTTGACAACACAGCCCATGGCAATATGGCCTGGTAGGATTCTGCATATTTTATAGTCCTAGAAAAAGCCTACAGGAAAGACCTGTGCTGTTAGTTTTGTGCAGATGTATTTTGTAGAAGCTATGCTATACGTTTTAAAATCATAGTCTTTAAAGAATAAGTATAAATTGGATTTTTGTCCTATAGACAGAAAAAAAACATTCATTGTAGTCCTGCAATCACATATGGAGTATCATCCTGTACAGTTTTAATGTGTTTCTTCCCACTTGTCCACATCTAAAACGAAGTGCAGAGGTATAATGCTTAGCACTTCATTGTCTTTGTGGAATATAAATTTGAGATTGTGTCAGTTGAGTAAGTACTGTAAAACAAAGACTGATTTGGCATAACTGTAAGTCAGTTAAAAGGGATAAGAATTTGTTGTATTATTTGATTCTTGTTTAGCTACTTTTTTCTGTGGCCTAAGAAAAGACAAGGAGAGCTGCAGTAGTGAAGAGAGAATTACAGAGGTTTGTTTCCCTTTCTGTTCTTTGAAACATCCAGTGGATATTAGCAAGTCCTTTGCTGTGTAGGTATGTGATGTGTTCCAGCTGCTTCCTGAACAAACACACAAACGCATTTGGTTCATATTTTATCAACTGCAGTATTTTTTTACATGTTTGTTGGACTACAAAGCCATCTTCCACTGGCAAGAAAAGTTAAAATTACAAGAACATGGTCTATAGTGGTCTCAGGAATTCCTGTCCATCTGTTGATAGAGTACAGTAGTTGATTGTGTGAGTTGCACAGTCCCTTTCACAATTTTAAGAGAACTTTAAGCAGACTGGAATAAGATAGTAGATTCTTGTTGCATTTTAATTACACTTTTGATCTAAAATTAGGCAAGGATAAGGCAGCACCATTGTTGGGACTGCTGTGTCTTAAAGGAGTGGAAGGTGCTTCTTGTGTTTGAATTCGGACACCTGATGTGTGAGGTATATCCATCTTATATAATCATCATATAATCTTATTATACTTAGACACATACATGTAAGAGTAATTTTAAATTGGATCAAAAGGGAAGGATAGTTAAAATCAGTCTCAGTTCCTTTTCAAAATCTGGTTATGTGAAAATTTCATTAACTAGCCAGTAAGAAAAAAAGATGTAGAATTTATAAATGATAGCTAAATCAGTTGATTTTTAATCATGATGTACATTTTGCTCTGAGTTCTACAACTCTGTTTATAGATTGGAACTGAAATTTCAACATCAAAAAAAGAGGTAAATAGATGGTAATATTTTTTAGGTTCTTCTTTAGAAAAGATTGGTCACAGTGTATTCAAGTGTACGTTGTTTTTAAGGCTACTTTATGCTAAAATCTCAATTTAGCTAATCTTAAATTTCTTTCATGACAGCAACTTCAGTGCTATCCCTTTAGGTACTGGAAGAATGCAATGAAGTCACCCTGCAGCCTTCTTTTCTCCAGGTTGAACAAGTCCAGCTCCCTCAGCCTGCCTTCGTAGGGGAGGTGCTCCAGTCCCCTGATCATCTTCATGGCTCTCCTCTGGATCCTCTTCCTGTCAGCTCCCTGTCTTTCTTATACTAGGAGCTGCAGACCTGGACACAATACTCCAGATGGGGTCTCACAAGAGCAGAGTAGAGGGGGACAATCACCTCCCTGTCCCTGCTGGCCACCCCTCTTGTGATGGAGCCCAGAATACCATTTGCTCTCCAAGCCGCAAGGGCACACTGCTGGCTCATGTTACGTTTTTCATTCCATCAAGACCCCCAGGTCCTTCTCCACAGGGCTGCACTCAAGGACCGCTCCTTCCAGTCTGTATGGATGCCTGGGATTCCTCCGGCCAAAGTGCAAAACTCTGCACTTTGTTGTCTTGAACCTCATCAGGTTCACCCAGGCCCATCTTTCAAGCCTATTGAGGTCCCTCTGAGCATCTTTTCCTGCCACCGTGTCAACCACTCAGCTTGGTGTCACTCAGCCTTTCCTTTTTAAAAAGTCTTCCAGGGTCACCAACATTTCGATGACTTAAGGGGAAAGCTAACGGTTTAGAGTATGTACTTTTTCTGTGTCATTAGAACACTTGTGTTCATTTGTGCAACAATTATGTTTTTCTAAATGTAAAAGTAATGTCTGGAACCAGAGTGAAGTACAAGGTAGGTGTCTTGAGGTCTAATCTAAATTAACCTTTAACTTTTTCGTTCTTCTTATCAGTGTCTTGACCAGAAAAGGTACCTAAATTCCTCCATCTTAACTTTCAGGTTTTTTGGGTAGTGGTGTTTTTTATTTTACTTTGTTTTGAGCACTTGAACACCAACATATACCTTGCTGGATGAGAATTTTGAGACAAAGCATAGCTTTTATATACTGAACAATTCCTTCTAACAGCATGGATGTCAACAGGACCAAAAAATGGCCAGAACTATTTTAATTTTTAAAATGTGGCCATTCTATAGAGCACTCGAGTAAGGCATAAGAGTAGTGGACCCCAGGCTGTGCTCTCTGACCCTTATTCTTAGAAAAATATCCTAGTCATCAGCAGATACCACCTTTAAATTTGAATTATTGTGAAAAAGGAAGGATATTTGGATGCGTAATACATTAATTTTTCTGGAGGCTGCATGGAGGCTGCAGGATATTCTGCTGTATAGAAGGATGTTTGCGTATATATTCTGCTTTGCAGTGCATGAGAATTTTCAGTTGAACAGAATTTTTCTACTTATAAAAACAAATAGCCATCACTTTTGTAACTACATTTAAGTAATAGTTAAAGCTTTCTTTATCCAAGATATTATGGCTGACTTCAGCTCACACTGACAAAAGTGTACACACGTTGCTTTATTTTTCATTAGGCTATAGTGGATAACTTTGAGTTCTTCATTTGTAGAAGCTCATTGAGTTAATAAAAGATGTTCTCTATCTTTTTAGCGTAAGAGGACTGTATTGTCTGTTTTACTTGTACATTTGAGTGAATATTTTAAATTCTCTTGTTCATTAGGAAAGCGTTCTCCACAGAATTTAATTTTAATTTTTAAATTTATTTAAGCCAAAAACTACTAGCTAAAAGCTAATCTGAATCATCAGGTGTTAGATGATAACGAAACAAGGTAAAAGAAAACACACACAATTCCTTGTCTGCTGCTTATAGAGTCTCTAAAGAGTAGTGGTGAAGTTGGCACTCAATTTCTGAGTGGCAGCTATGATTTTTACAAGTATCTTGTCCATTTCTGAAAACTAAGCATCAGCAGCTGTTATCGCATTCAGGAAAATGATATTGCCCAGTTTCTCTCTCCTTTTTTAAAGATTATCACCACTTCTGCTTTGTCAAAAATAATTAACAAAAAAAATCTAGAATGTATATGTTGTTTCGAAAGTAAGTTGGCTTTTTCACTCACAGTATTTTTTTTCCCCTTTTCCTTGTTGTTTCTTGTGTTTAACATGCAGTCATTAATACTGTACATCTGAACATGTTATGAAGAGTCATTTGAATAATCACTTAAATTATAGAATGTGAATGATCATTGCAACCACAGTCTTAAAACAATGAACTTTCATAACTGATAAATTAAATAGGAGTGGAATGGGGATCTCACAAGGACAGTGTTTGTGCCAGAGACCTTTTCATTCTAAGGAATGTCAGCTGGATTATAATTGGCTCTAATTAGCACACTATTCAACTATAAAAATTCTTTACCTTGAAGCTCATTGACACTCAGAGACGTGAAATTTCTTCCCACCTTTGAAAACATCAAAGAACCTGCTTTTATAACTGAAGACTGAGTGGTCAGCGTAGGAAAGAAGCGAATATGTCAACAGGCATCAAGAATATTGATCTCTGGCTAGAAGAACTCTTAAAGAGTTAATTGGTGAAATCTAATTTTATTGTGTTTAATTGAAAGAATATCTACATATAATGACACCAAAAACTAGTGTAATACTTCCAGCAATATACAAGAGAAATGGGGGGGAGCAGGGGGGCAGCTGTAACTAAAAATAATAATTATTAGAATCTTGAAGATTTCTTAGCTATTCATTCAAGATGATGATTCTGACATCTTTTAAAATTGATAATACCAAAACTGTCTTTTTTTTTTTTTTTTTTTTTTTTTCTCCCATGGTTCTGTCTCCTCAGTCTGGCTTCTCTTTATTGTTTCATTCATCTGTCTGTAAATCCAAATACTTGTATCACTAAAAATACTGCATTAGAAGTAATGAAACTGTTTGTGGAAGAAACAGAGAATATTTTGAGTGGAAAATCATAGCCAAGGTTGTGACTGAGGTTGTGTATCACTTCTTTCTGTTTCTTGTTCCTTGCTATTTTCTTTGCTATTATTTTGTATTTTAAGCTTGGATGGAGTCCCATGGGTTGGATCTGGGGCCTTCCAGGTCTTAGGAAGGTAGAAGTGATACAGATTTGGAGATTATACTATGAATGCTCCTGTATTAAGTGCCAAGGTAGGAATCTATCCAGTGGCTGCCTCATCTCTGGCTTGCTTATCCAGGGGTGCATCTATTCATGCAACCCTGTTCCATCTTTTCAATCCAAAGACTGACCTGATTCATGGAAGAAGTTAGACAAGAAAATTTATGTCTAGTGATATTCTAATCATCTCTTGAAACTTATCAGGAGTTTTTCTTCATGTGTGCCCTGAAGATGAGAACAGCATGTCAAACAAAGTTAGACCAAAGCTATTCAGAGACTGGAGGAAGTTTCTCACAGAATACAGAATTGTAGGTGTTGGAAGGGACCTCCAGAGATCATGGAGTCCAACCCCCCTGCCAAAGCAGGTTCCCTACAGCAGGTCGCACAGGTAGGCATCCAGGCAGGTCTTGAACATCTCCAGAGAAGGAGACTCCACCACCTCCCTGGGCAGCCTGTTCCAGTGCTCCGTCACCTCACTGTAAAGAAGTTCTTGCGCACATTTGGGCGGAACTTCCTATACTGCAGTTTCCGGCCGTTTCCCCTTGTCCTGTCTGCATGATATTCCCTACTGATATCAGTTGCGATCTCTATCTCTTGCTCAATTTTTAGAATTATGGAGTACAGAAGCCTGTTCTCATCAAATGACAAGTATTATCCTTTTAACCTTTCCGTTATCTCCACCAAAATGTTTGAGTGTTTGTGTATGTGCTTAACTGTACTTCCTGTATCCACTGGTAGAGTGTGCTGCTTCTCATAGCTTGAAATAGAGGACTAATGATTTCTTCTGTTCCTTCATGTGTAGCACAAAGATGGAGAATCACAGGTGTGATAGAACTGTGATGACAGCCTCAAAGTGGAAGAGGTTTGCATCAGAGCTCTATAGTTTAGGATCTTTGGTGCACTTCATGGTTTTGAGCTTAATTATTTGTATTAAGTGCATGTCACACTCTCTGTTTTGTTCTCTGTGTGTTACAATGACAAAATCATTTTTCATAAATCAGTATATGGGACAGATAGCAAATGAAATATGGATTTTTGGAACAGGTAGGCTAGCATCCAAGGAAGCTGGATGGCATTCCTTTTCCAGACAAATTTTGATCAAAGATCTCTTAAGAGAAAAAGGGAAGGATGCATATGCTAGAGTGGACAAAAATTCCATAATCAAGCCTTACTTTCTATCATGCAGTTTAAATAAATGGCACTGCAATCTATGATGTGTAGAAGTTGCAGGTTTTGCAGTTAAAATATGAGCCAGTTTCAGCTGAAGGAAAACAGTTGTTAAAGTCATTTAGGTGTTGAAACTGATCAGATCCACAAAATTAAGATGTTTTTCCAGTTCAGATTCTAATTGGTTCTAATGGTTCATTTTTTTTGTTTGTTTTTAATTGTATTACTTTTTTATTATTTTGTTTTACAGTGTTATGTGGGAACCAATGGGAGATGGTAAAAAGATCATTTCTCTGGCTGATAACAACATATTACTGTGGGACTTGCAGGAAAGTTCAGCCAAAGCTGTGGTAAGAATCTTATTTTTTAAGAAACAATAATATACTTGAATGTAGCATGAACAGTACTCACCAACCCCAAATTTTCTCATCTTTTAACTACTTGTTCCCTGATGACTTCAGAAGTATCTTTAGTGGGTGCTGGGTGAAATGAATGTAGTGTCAATTGACTTGGCAGTTTTTAAGAGGAGAGGTAACTGAGTATTTTTATTTGTTGCTAATGGTTAATTATTTTCTTTTTACTAGAATTGCCTTTTCATACTGCTTCTGAAGTAAAGCAGTGCTGATCTGATAAACGTGTCAGGGAATACTGATGATAATAAATTCAAGGGTTTTCTAATTCATATGATAATAGATTAACCAATGTTAGTTAATATCTCACAGTCCTGCATTTCATATTTAACTTAAAACCCTTGGATGTAGATGTCACTTAAATTCCCACACTTACTTTGCACTGCTTTGAGTTCTTGGTGCTAAACAAGTCTATTCAAATTGATTCACTCATTTTTTTAAAAAAACTTTTTTAAAAACTGTTTTGTCTAATATTCAGATATGTAACTAGTAAGGTTGGTATGGATTTGTCTCATTTGATGCCTCTTGTTCTGGAAGAGTGAATGAGCAGTTAGTTTCTTGCACCCATGCTCTTAATTATTTTTTCTGGATAATTTCTATACTGGCCTAGAGGTTAATGATTTTTATTTTTAAACGAAATATTCTTTTCTGTGTCCAGATCAGTCCTTACGAGATCCAAATTCAAAGTAGAAGATGGTGTCTTAGTCCTTACTGATGTTTCAATGAAGTACTGTAACTGGTGGTTTCATTAGAGTTCACTGAAATCATTTCTTCAAGGCTAGGACAGGCTTTTTTCAGATTTATTTCTTTTGTAAAAAATATTTCATTCACTGAGGGTAAAAATATGCAGTTCTGTTCTGATCATATGGCATTGCTTAACTGTTTTTTTTTGTTTTGTTTTGTTTTTGTTTTTGTTTTTTTTAGAACCCATTTTTTTTTTATTTCAAATCATTGTTCTTCTGTAATGCTAATATTTTATCATACTTCCTTTTTACAGCCATTAGTGCCTTTACTCATTTACGCACTTAAGCACTTAAGAATGTTGTTAAATCCAACTATATACTAATGACTATTTTACATTCTTCTAGATTTTTTTGCTCCAGAGTTTTTTCCAAAATTTTATGTATTGAAAGAGCTAATTCTGTTGTCTGAAAATGGACAGCAGTTTTATTCACTTTCTCATTACCTACCATAAATTACTTTTCTGTGTTTTTAAAATACTGCAATGAATTGTTATGCTGTCTTATACGAGGCAGAATAAATCATTTGAGATTGGTGGTACCTAAAATATGCCTTTGTCACGTTTTCCTTTACTTTGGATAGTCACATGGTCAACTTTTCTGCTTTTAAAGAAGTGGGATGGATTGTGTTCATGCTCACTTGGGAATTTTACAGAAGGATTCTTGCTGGCTTCCTTCTGTTACACAAAGATCATTTATGTATGAAAGTTCTCTTTCATTTCTTCACTGTCCTTAGCTCTCCATGTTTTTTGTTGCCCTCACATAAAAAAAAAATATATATATGTTAGTATCCGGGTGGAGATCCAACAAGAATCCAGTGCTTTAATCTGCCTGTATGGAATGCCTCTCAGTGAAATGCTTATAACTATGAATATTACATGCAATATGACCAAATATGTCATATAATAAAGTGCTCAGGCACTTTAAATGTGTAAGTTTAAATCAGATTAAAATGTAGTTACTTTGCTTTTCTTACCCTCCCCTCAGCTTCTATACATTACTAGAAATGCAGTTAATTTGCAGTGACTGCATATTGGGTTTTCCCCATGTTCGCACAAAGTTAGAAGGATGACAATTTTCTTTACAACTTCAAGACGAAGTTGATTATTTTATACCTGCTTTTATTAACTGTATGGAGATGTACAGATATCTGTTCATGGTATGCGAGCCTTGTTTTGCAGCTGAAACCTTTTAACTCTTATAGATTGTAGATTTGTATCTAATGGCTTCTATTATTTTAATAGGCATTTATGTGATGACATGAGCACATGCGCCTTGATTTTTGTTTTAATGCTGCTGCATTTATTCAAGAGCTTTTGATGCTAATTCTTTTCCTGCAGATAAAATGTGGCATCTTGACATGGAAAAACATGTATTTAATGAGTCTTTTATAGCTGATTATGAAATTGAAGGCATATACTTGTTTGCCAGTTTAAGACAGCTACAAATGACTGCAGTATGTCCATATTGTCTGTATGAAGTTTCAACATGTACAGATTTAAAACTGCTTAGTTTAGGTTATTAAGAAGTATAGTACTTCTTAAAACATTGTACTGTGTAAGCCTTTGTAAAAATTACTTTAGGATACAAAACCGATTCTATATTCCTAGTTTTCTCCAGTTTTATACTAGGATTTTGAAATTCTATTATGCCTGAAATGTTAGACTGTTGTGCAGTGTTCTGTCCTTAGTGGAACTAATTTCACTTTTTTTTTTTTTTTTTACATTTAGACACATGCTAATTTCTGTTTTTGCGTTAGCTCTCTAGTTCTGCAGCCTTAGAAGGGAAAGGACAATTAAGATTTACTTCAGGACGATGGAGTCCACACCACAATTGTACACAGATTGCAACAGCCAATGATACCACTGTTCGGGGATGGGATACACGAAGCATGAGGTAAAGAGCAATACGACAAAAAATTTTCATCAGGAGGTGGATTTTTTGTTGCTCCTAACTTTTTTATAAAAAAGCTATCAGTTGTAGATGGAATGTTTGGGATTGCACAGCTGTGTATTCACAGTTCAGTAAGGGGTTTTCAGTTTTTTCCCTCAGCTCCAATTCTGACTTGGATATTGCATTTTACTCAACTGTGTACTGGTCTGGAGATTGTTCAGTGCATAGGCATTACCTGAAATGAAGATGTACTATATATCAACCTGAAAACCAGGATGCAGCATCAGTCCTGAGTATGCTATGAGTTGTCTTCATAGCATACTACGTAAAGCTAACTTTAATCTCTGAAGGTAGTTGAGAGTGATTTCACTCTTCATTTTTCTGATTTTAACAATAATATACTATACTGTATTGAAGAATGTATATACGGTATTCTGTATTGAAGCACATCAGTCGCATGAAACTACAGAATCCATCAAAATCATATCACTATCAATTAATGCTTTGAATCTACCTGATAAGGTGTTTTCTTTCCTATTTGGTTGTGGTTTTGATAACTAAAGGAGTGATTTTGTGCACATCTGTTGTCATGACAACTAAAGCCTCTGCAAGGTTTTTTTTAGGATACACTTTGTCCCTTAACATGTAGTAATTTATCATTAAACTGAGAAGACTAATGTCTTCTAATAACTTTTGTTGCCTTAGAGTGGGATGACTTCAAGTTTAGTTCTGTGGTTCATGCTAGCTCAGAGGTGTTGCAATAAATCCCTATACTTGCCAGCTTTGTATGTTTCTGCTTTATAGATTTGTTTAATTTAATTAACAAAAGTTAAAAATACAAATATAATGATTAAATTTTTGAATGCCTGTTTTTGTATTTGAAAGTTCTGTTCTTCATCCTGTAAAAAGATATATAAAGGTATAACTTGATACGTATGTGTGTGTTCTCTTTTATGAAGAGATAAGATCTAAGGAGAAAGGTGAGGTTGTTCATTTGTTTGTAACATAGAGCATGCAGGACCCTAAGACTAAACCCTGTATTTCTAATTAGGTAGTGTTAGATGTTGTGAAGTCTGCTTCATGTTCTGTCTTATTAGAGAATAACATCTCTATCTTGTTTTAAACAACTTCTCTGAGTGACTTTGTAACAAAGATAGTCCAGACATTACCAAGATCTGCAAAGAAAGGGTATTTGGTTAACAAAAGCAGACCCTGGAATTCTAGTTGCTCTATCTGAAGGTCATATTTCACTGCTTTTGAACAAATTCAAGAGAACTAGGCTATGTCAAAAAGCTATTTGCAATGTACTTGAAAGAAGCGTGCAGGATTGTCTCATCTCCAATCACACTGTAATATGACTAGAATTATGTGAATATTTGATGAAGACTAGCTTGGCTAGAAGTTGGAGTTTAAAGCCAGAGATATATAAACCATGGCAGTATAAAACACACACAAAAAAATCAAGGTCAGAAAACTGCTGTACCAGCAAAGACGGGAAAGGAGCTTCTAAAGCATCTTGAATAGCTACTTCTGTGAGAGTACAGTTAAGATAACTGTAAGAGAGAGTAGATAGTATTGAAGGTAGCAAAGAAGGAAAGGAAAAAGCAAAAACGTTGGCAAGAAGACTACAAAGCAGTTGATCATTGGGAAACTTAACCAGGCAAAACATCACGAAGCAGAGGGGAATAACAACTAGGCTGAACGAATTTGTAGAGAGAATTATATCAGGGAAATTCAGAGTCCATAAATTAATTCTAAAAAAAAAAGTGTTAGAATATGAGAAGAGAGTATAACTAGTTGGAGAAAAGGTTTGTGTGGCCTGGTGTAATCCTACTAATCTATGGTGTAACTAGGAAATTGAATGTGTGCTGTATTGCTGTGGGTAAGATGATAGAGTGAAAAAGAATACTTGGATTTGGAAAGGAAAGAGATTGATCAAGTGGTCAAACTAACAGTTCAGTTAGCATATAGGCTTTCATGGTAAGCACAACTGAATGCAGGGTAGGCAGAGAATGGAATTTCTTTTTAAAACTTCACACATTGCCATGAGCAGTGCAGTCAAGAACAAAATAAAAAAAAGAAAGTTAACAATGAAGGGGAAAGTGTTTTATATTTGAAAAACAAACAAAAAAAACCCAAACCAAAACAAAAAAAAACTCATAAAGATGTTTTAGGAAATGAAGAGGAAGTGTAAAATTCTAATGCCAGAGTAGCTGATAGAAAGGCATACCTGAGCAATATCATTGATCTCTCAAAATTTGGGCAGAGTTTTGAAGTTGGTTATCTGAATGATATCATTTATCCCAGGTGACTGCAATAGCTATTGGGAGAAGGATTATTATGTGTGATATACTTTGAGTTGCTTCTTGTGGATCTTCTTGAGGGTGGGAAAGCTTTGCAGAAGGATCTGGATAGGCTGGATTGATGAGCCAAGTCCAGTTGCATGACATTCAACTGGATGCCAAGTTCATTTGATTCATAGCAACTCCATGCAGTGGTACAGACTCGTGGAAGAGAAACAGAAATTTGCCCAGCAGAAAATGACCTGGGGATACTCGTTGACAGCTGGCTGAATGTGAGCCAGCGATGTACCCAGGTGGCCAAAAAGGCCAGTGGCATCCTGGCCTGCATCAGAAATCAGGAACGGACTGCCCCTTATATGCAGCACTGATGAGACTACGTTTCAAGTAGTGTGTTCAGTTTTGGGCTCGTCATCACAGGAAGGATATTGAGTTGCTCAAAGCATGCGCAGAAAAGAGCACTAAGGCTGGTGAAGGGTCTAGAAAACAAGACCTATGAGGAGTGACTTAGGGAGTTGAGGTGGTTTTGTCTTGGAGAAGTGGAGGCTGAGGGGAGATCTCATTGCTCTCTGCATCTGCTTTAGAGGACACTGCAATGGAAAGGGTATTATCTCTTTTCTCAAGGAGTAAGCGATGAGATTTGAGAAAACCGTCTCTTACAGCAGCTGAAGTTTGTATTGAATGTTAGGAAGAATTTCTTTGCAGAAAGAGTGGTGAAGCATTGCAGTGAGCTGCCCAGGGAAGTGGCCGAGTCCCCACTCCTGGAGGTATTTAAAGGGCACATGGATGTGGCACTAGGGGAAGTTGGTTTAGTGATAGGACTTGATGATCTTGAAGGTCTTTTCTAGCCTAGATGATTGTGTGATTCTAAGAGCTAGACATAATAAATATAGAAATGGTATAACAACTTAGGGATGGAGAAGGTGTAATATGAACATACTGTGGGTTAGTAACAGATATTTCTTATTGTTGCTACAGTGCTGTGCTAGAATCATCTGGATCTAATATTTATTTTTAGCTCCAGAAGATCTCAGTATAGATAAGTAAAAAGGGAAAATTCAAAGCATGCTGAGAAATCTACACAAGTCTCTGCAGTTAACAGCTGGGGTTTCCCCAGACTGTGCACTAGCAGTGAGAACTTGAGGTCTGCGGGTGTTAAGGGCATTATGCAAGTTTCCAGGGAAACAGATTCTTGTCAGTGGAATGCAGCTAGCTTTTTATAGACCATTTAATTTTCTTTTATGTGTTTTACAGGCAAATATATTCCATAGAAAATGCACATGGACAGCTGGTACGAGACCTTGACTTTAATCCCAATAAACAGTACTACCTGGCTAGCTGTGGAGATGACTGCAAGGTGAAATTCTGGGACACAAGAAATGTCACTGAACCAGTGAAGACGCTAGAGGAGCATTCCCACTGGTAGAACAAATTATCTACATGCTGTGTTGTGGGTGGATAGCTTAGATAATTTATTCAGCTATTTATTTTACTGTTTAGGAACAATGCAAGCTATGTTTTTGCTACTGTGGATAACATTTTTCTGCACGGAGGAAAGGTTTTAACTCATAAATGTTACTTGTGTGATTGTAAATAAGAAGTTTAGGCAATCTTATTGTCTAATTGAGAAGAAGCTGTTGTTAATGCTGGGGAGATTGGATACGCTTTTTGAGAAGCACATCACAGAGGTTGGCTTGTGGGATCCAGATGAAATGCAGCTGTACCTGCCCAACCTCAGCATGATCTGCTGCACCTGACATGCGGAAAAGCACCTGAGCTGTTTTGGTTGCAGCAGCTGCCATCTGTCCTTCCAGTGTGGAGTAGTAGATATGTCAGCCTCACTGTTTTCACACTCTTGGCATCCTGTAAGCCAGAGCAAGTCAGTCATTTTTTTCTCAAATTACATATTATGTATATTATATATATTCTGTATACCCTTTGGCCTGTGATTGGAGTCAAGAGAGCATCTTGTCTGAAATTTGCAGACTCGTAAGAGTAGATGAACAGTTCGTATCTATGAAATATGAGCTATAGTAACTTGCCAAATAGATCTGAACTCTGAAGCTACTTTGAGGGGAATGAAGATGAGAATTAACAGGAGGAATTCTTATATGTGCTATTTTTTTCCTGGAAGATTGAAAGGAAAATAACGAAACAAAAACTATAAAAACATTTAGTATTAATTTATTATATGAAGTATCAAAATTGAAGATGAATATAATCCTTATTTTATTTTAAAGTCTATTTCAAAATTTATTGTGAAAATGTTTGAGCTTTTTGTCTAATGGGTAATTTCTAATCTGTATTTTGCTTGATTTTATATTTTTAGAACCTAAATATTTTTCTGATGTATTAAACAGTAGCCTTGCATATAACCTCAGGGAACTCACTGAATGGTATTTTTTTGTTTTTTGGGATTTTTGAATTTTGAAGATACTCCAAAGAGAGCAAATTATATAGAAGCTTAAAAGCCAAATGAAAAAAGAAAAAACTAGTCTTTGGAATAAGACATTTCACTTGTGTGTACTTAGCACATTCAAATCAAAAATGAATTTTTAATCCTATTTTAAAAATGGAAATCTTTTTAAACAACATTGATGCACTCACAACCTGCCAAACGTGGCTTCTTGTTCTTTCTGATTTATTTTCTTAGGGTCTGGAATGTCAGATACAATCATTCTCATGATCAGCTGATCCTTACAGGAAGCAGTGATAGCAGAGTTATTCTTTCTAATATGGTATCAATTTCTTCTGAACCATTTGGACATATGGTAGATGATGACGAACTGAGTGACCAAGAGGAACAACATCAAGAAGAGAAGTATGAAGTTTCCTAGGTTTTATGCATATGCTTATAGTTTGTCTTTTTGTTAAAATGCTTAACGTTCTATTTTTTGCTGACTAGGATTTTTGTATACAGACCTTTCAGGTAAGTAGTTCTAATTAATACTTCTTAACTCACAGTCATGGGTGGAATCTATTCTTTTTATCATATCAGCACTATTACTGTGTTTGCACTGGTAGAAAAAGGGGATGGTGATGCTGAGGACCAGTCCTAAAGTCAGCTGGATGAGTGAAAAGATCACTTTAATGGAGCTCTGGATCAAGTCATGCACACACAATAATCTGGGTTAAAAGAGGGTGTTTTGTTGTTGTTTGCTTGTTTGTTTTGGAAGAGAGAGTATGAGAGTGTGAGAGAGAACTGTTCCAAGCAAAACAGAAGTTTGCTTTCAGTTATCTTGGTAGAGAATAAGGCATGCAATTGTATGTGTGTTGTGTATTGTACACATGTGTTTTGGAGAGAATGTTGTAGGAGGCAATGCAACAAATGCTTATTTCATTTGTGAAATACGATATTTTTCTTCTGTATGAATATACATAGCTCTGTAGAGCTAGCATGGCTAAAGGTTTTCAGATTTTGCAATTAGTTTACAATGGTGATCTTCAGCAGATAATTTCTTTGCAAAATTAGGATAATAATATGGAAACTCATGTAAAATATTTTGAAGCCAACAGGCTAGTCTATATTTTTCTGTTCTTTGCAACTGTGAAAATGTATGTATTTCATGAATGCATTGAGCAATCGTTCTGATTAATTTATTTTAATATGTAGAACTGTCTGCAGTGGTATTGGTGCATTACCTCATGAAGTTTATTTTTTCATAAAGAATGATGAGATTAGTTGAAAAATAAGGAAATAAGATGATCGCTCTTTTACTCATGTTCTTCAGGATTTTCACTTAAACTTTTAAATAATCTTCAGATTACTTCTGTAGTTGCACTTCCAAGATTGCTCTGGCCCATTTCTTAATACGATGTAGTTTTGCTCCAACTAGCTTCGACACTTTGGTGTCACATGAAGGTTTTGGAACTCTCTTTTTGCTTTTATTTTCTTCCTCTTTTGATTAAATAAGGGAGCTATCTCATGTATAGGAGTGGTTAATTTTAAACATACAAAATGTCTTTAGAATGAGTCTTCTTTTGGGTTGGATACTTTCTAGATTTTCAGGAAGTTGCTGTATCCCTACAGGGTTTGTTTTACCTTGTTAAGAGGACATGTGGTTCATTAAGTAACACAGAAATCTTGAAAAACAAATTCACTTTTTAAGTGTATCTTGAAATATACTAGGAAGAGGAAGTGTCTGTAAAGCTGGTATCTCCAGACAGTCACCTTCAGACTGAGCAACCTAATCTGTACTTGATATTTCAATCTTCTTTCAAGAGAAAGGAGAAGAAAGCTATTTCCTTATAAGCTATCTATATATTTTTTTTATTTATGACTGAAACAACTTGTAATAATTTGTGTAAGAAAATATTTAACTCCTTGGGTTAAATATAAAAATGAAGAGTGTATACCAGTTCACACTTAAAAGGGCTTTTTCTTTACCTAGCAAAAGTCTATATATTTAAAACTACTGACTCATAATAATATTCTAAACAACTGAGATGTTTGGGATTCTTAAGACTCAAGTTATTTTTTAATATATTAAAGTATTTTGGGTAAACTTTGTTTTAATGTATTTCTCTTCTGAAGGCAAAAGGGAGTAACATGTTAGTTTAACCTTGCATTGTGCAATGGCCTAGAATTACGAGTCTACTCATTTATTCTTGATAGCTTTTCTGCAGTAAATACCTGCTTTTTAAGAAAATGTTTGTTCAGTAATGAATAGACAGCACACAAAAGTTGCTGTCTTCTATTCCTAATAAGAAATTTCTCTTTGAAATTTCTCTTCTGTGTACTTGTCCACATACATGCAAACACCTTGAGAGTTTATATATCCATCTTGTGTCTCATCTTGGAGACCAGAACACACTTTCACAAGCAGTGTAACTAGGACCTTACATGAGGATTTTTTTTCTCCTGTCACAACTAAGTGACCTTCATGACTGCTGATACAGATCAGAGAGACTAGTTTGCTGTCCCTTTATTGCTTTTTTCACTGCTACTGGTGTTACTCTCATCAATCATACAAATGGAAGAACAGCCTTCCTGCATCATATCTAAGGTCTCACTAGCCTGTATCATAGCGGCCAAGAGGAAATGTTATAAAAACAGGAAAACATGATATTTCCCCTGGGTATGCTTTCAGTCCTGGAATGTTAGCAGCTTAAGGGACTGTTTCCGCTTTCTGAATCATCTTTGGAGTCTTCTGATTTTTCTCACTGGAGTTTTCTTTTACCAGTAGCCATATTCATGAGTTTCTCTTCTCACTGGCTGTGCTTTTGATTGTTCCAAAACATGCAGTGCATACGCTGCCTTTGTGAAATGCATCTAGGATGAGTATGCCAACTATGTTGTGTCTTTGTGCTGAATAAGGAAAACCTTCAGCATTCTGTCAAAAATAGGTACTCTGATAGGTACTGGGGAATACCAGGTGTTAAGACACTCCACTTGGTAGGATGTGTAAAGAAGCTGGGCCAAATCTGGTGCAGTGCAATTTCCAGGTATAGTTTTCCCCTGTTATTTCTTTAACTAGAGTATATCTGCTGATAAATTCATTTTGTGTTGTGGGACAAATATGAAATTTGATATTTAAAAAAAAAAAGAAGCATTTCCTTCTTTTAAAGATGAAATTTTTGTGTAGAAGCAGTTCAGAAGGCTGTTTTTCATGTAAGGAAACAATGTTTATAATAAAATGAATGGCAAGCTAATATACATAGAAATTGTGTTCTAGTAGAAAAATCTCTGAATTCTGAATTAGTGAACAGAGTGAAAAAGGAAATAGTGTGCCATCTGAGCTTATCTGAAGCAAACTCTTACAGCTGTAAAGTTGTGCCCTCCAGCTAAAGGGAAAGAGTATCTACTGGACTTGTTTCAGTGTCCAATGCATTTACTCTTCTGGATGCGTTTTGGACACTGCTGTTTGCTGCTCTGTTGCATCGCATCTGTTTCAAGTAACTTTTGTGTCAAGGAGGATTTAACTTTGACTGTGATAAGGAATTAACAGTTTTTGGTGACTCTGAAAAACACTTTATTAAACATTATGATGACAAAACAGAATCTCTACCTCTGCAAACGTAAGTGGTTGTTAGCATGAGCAGTAATTGGAAATAACAGCTCTCTACATGAAAACAATTATCCAAGGCTTAACAGGCTTCTCTCTCAAGTCAGTAGTGCAATTAACCTCTGTGTTATATACTGAAATGAAAACTCTTCTCCTTTTGTAGATGAGGATGGTAGGGTTGGTGTTATGTGAATAAGGCTATAAAGAGAAATCAGTCTGGTTTCAGCGCTGCCTGGCACAGGTCATAAATTTATGCAGGATGTAGGTATAGATTACACATTGCTTAATATAAGTGCTTGATGACATAAAAGCTTGATGCCTTGTTGGTTGTTGCAAGCAAGAACAAATACAAGAAGAGAAAAAGGTACTTAAATCTTTGAAATAGTACAAGAAACTTATGGAGCTTTTCAAGGACTGGAAAGATTTTAGAGTAAGGAAGAAAATAGTTCATCAAGCTTGCCAGGCTTAACAAGTGATTAGAAAGGGTGCTCATCAAATAAAATTTGTCAGACTTCTCTATCTAGGAATCAGTAGTCAGAGCAATCTGTACCTTTACCTCATTGAGAGCTTTTATTTATGGAATGGATGATTTCTCAGATAAAACTGTGTAATAATAATATTTTTAATTATGTTATGTATAGAGTATTAAAAAATACATTCATTAGATCTGTGATGTTAGTCTCTGTAAGTGCTGAATGTTAAAGAGGCTCCAGCTGTGGGCCCAGGAGAACCTCATGAAGTTTAACAAATCCAAGTGCAAGGTGTTGCGCTTGGCTCTTGGAGGCTCCCATTATTAATACAAGCTGGGGGATGAAAGCATTGAGCACAGCTTTGCCAAACGGACCTGGGATTCTGGTGGGCATGAGTCTGTAGAGTGCCTTTTTAGCCCCAAAATCCAGCTGTATCCTGGGCTGTGCCACAAGAAGTGTGGCCAGCAGGGCAGGAGTGAGGGAGGTGATCTTGTCTCTCTGCTCTATGCTGGTGAGGTTACACCTGGAGTCCTCAGTGCAGGAGAAACACAGACCTGTTGGAGCATGTCCAGAGGAGGGCCATGGGAGTGATCCAAGGGATGAGTGTTTCTCCCGGGAGGACAGGCTGAGAGAGCTGGGGATGTTCAATCTGGAGGAAGAGAAGGCTCTGGAGAGACCTGAGCAGTCTGTCAGTATCTAAAGGAGCTATGAGAAATGAGGAGACGGACTCTGTTGCAAGGTGTGTTTTGACAGGACAAGGGGAAATGGTTTCAAAGTGAAAGAAGGGAGATCTAGATTAGGTAGATATAAGGAAGTTTTTTATGAGAAACATTGGAACAGGTTGCCCAGGGAGGTGTTGGATGCCCCATCCTTGGAGACATTCAAGGTCAGGCTTAACAGGGCTCTGAGCAGCGTGATCTACCTATAGGTCTCCCTGTTTGTTGTGGAGGAGTTGAACTAGGTAACTCTTACGGGTATCTTCCAACTCAAATGATTCTATGATTCTATGAATAAAATTTTAGCAGCTGGTTAAAAAAAAAAGCCAAACAAAGCCCACATAAATAATTGAATTATCTATGTAGGAAAATGGTGTGCAACAATAAAATCTAAGCTATTTTTTGTGTTCCCCTCGTATTTGCTGTCACCACCATCTTTTTCTGTACAATCTTTTTATGCATACACTTTTGTTCTTCTTCTTAAGTGTTTGTTTCCTTGGCTAAATAAATGTCAGTGTCATAGCTGTTAAGTGCATGCCTTCTTGCATTAACCAAATTGTTTAGTATCTGAGGGATTAGGAGTCTGAGTTCATTCGTTAACAGATTTAAAAAATATGCAAAAGCTGTACAAAAATTCATCAAGAGTAAATAGTTTTAGCCCTGGGACTTGGAAACAGAATAACTTTTAAGTATCCTAGATTTATGTAGAATCAAAATCTGTATCCTCAGCCTAGTCTTGGATTACCAGAAATGTGCTTGCATTGCTAAAATGCAAATGAATCTGAGGTGTTTGGAATCTGAGGTCTGGTTTTCTTGAAAGACTCAGCACGGGATAATGTGATCCATCTTGAGGAGATGAGAAAAAGAAAACCAAACACAAACTACCTCTTCCTTTCTGTTTTTTTTTTTTTTTTTTTAATTATTTTGAGCAATCTTTCAGGGGCCCAGAATAAATTCTGTTCTTTATTCCCCTTTGCAGAAACCTTTTGGATGTATTGCCCGTTACAAAATTGAATGACATGTCTGTTTTCTCTCATAGTGTTTGTAAAGAATGCCTCCGGACAGGTTCTTTCAGATCTTCTGCATTGTTCCTGAGATATGTGTTATTAAGATATTTTCTTCCATCTGATTATCTTCAATAGTATCTAGCTCCTTCACATCAACGGGTCACTTTCATAAGGATTTTTTCAGATTCTTGACAACTTGAAAAGCTGCCAGTCATATGCATAAGAAGACTAAAAAAAAAAAAAAATAGGTCTTACCTGCTTAAACATCAATAAAAGAAAAATGATCACATATGACCTGAAGGAACCACACGTGATAGTGTACTTTCTTTGAAGGGAAGACAAGAAATGGTCTTCTTGAGTATGAAAGTAAATGTTATAGACAGTAATATAGATCAGTTAATCTTTGTAGTTATAAATGGCAATACCAAACTGTATGTTTCTTTCTTAAACACTCATTCCACTATGAATTCTGTGAATTAAATTAGGTGAACTGTATTGTTTAAATGAAACGCTATTAACAACTGGGGAACATACAGAAATTAGTGCAAGTTAGAGGCATATTTGTCCTTTGTTTACCCAACCTTTGGTTAACTGAGACTCCTGGTTAACTGAAAGTTGGTCGTGTCCCCTGACGGCAGTATTCAGCATGCATTATTCCCTTGCTTTTCCAGAGAGACATTTGAAACCTTCAGAATAATGGAGTTCTGGGTAAGTGGGTGAGCACTGCATGAGGCACATTGCTGTCTAGGGACGTGACCAACTTTCGGTTAACCAGGCATGTCAGTTAACAGGAAGTTAGAAAAAGCATTGTGGGAGATGAAGTGTCTGCGTATGTGTGTTTATTAGCTCTCTGCTGTTAGATGGTTTGTAGTAAAGTATACATTCAGGAGAATTGCAGAACAGATCTTCTCTTTTTAATTAGCCAGAGGCTGTATGTTGTTTGTGCCAGCACCCTTATTGTTAGTTGACCTTAAACATAGCATAAGTAAATGATAATGGACCTTGGAACTAAATATCTGAAGCTATTCTGTAGTATCAGACTGTATTTGGTTTGTTCATTTAAATTCAATTGAATTTTAATTGTGATGTTAGATTCACAGCTGGCTAGGTGGACCAGTGATATCCTGCAAGCAATTCAAACATAATGCTGTGTGTGCTTTGTGATTGTAAGGATGCATATTTTCAGAGGGAAGTGATAAAGGGCAGAGAGTGATCAGCACTTCATTTCTGCAGCAGCACTATCTGTTTAAATGATTGCTGTTTGCAAGGCCCTCTGCCTTTTCTTTCTGTTGGGAGGACTGTGGTTGTAATACGACTCTGTTTCAGGGAGGCAGGTGGATGCTGATGGCCGCCAGGCAGGAGTGATTCTCTATGGGGGAAGGGAGCTGTAAGGTCTTCCTGCAAACTCACCTGCCCTGCAGCTACAAAACAAATGTACTGTGGTGCCCTTAAAGAATAGAGTGGCTTTGTGTCTGGGGAAGAGAAGAACTGCTTTCAACTAGCAGGGCATAGCCATTCACTCTTGACTGGTTTGAAATTTAAAGACTAGCCTGAATCAGTTTTCAAATATTTTCACTGCAAAAGAGAGTAAGTCTTTCTCTCATGATGATGTAGATGACTAGGAACTTGGATAGTGAGAGGTGAAGTATATGGTAATAAGTGAGAATTTGCATTTTTAGTGCATCTGGTGTTACAACTCTAGGAACAGGAAGAAAAAAATTATCACATTTGGAGGGGTGCCTTTATATCCTTTGTGTTACTCTGAGTTGGTCCAGGATTGCAGCATAGGAGAGAGCACAATGTCAAGGACCAAAACTTCTTATCTACCTGCTCTCATGTAATAGATGATATGCTTTGAATAATTCAGTTGGCAACAAGGAAGGTGGACCGTGATGAGAGAAAAGCTGTTGATTAAGGGAAAAAATAACACTTGTCTTTTAATGCCTGAAGTATGACAGGAAGGGTGGAAGAGATTGAAATGCTTCAAGTGGGTACTGAGACCTGCACTGAAGTTGAGAATGGCATGTGTTTTCCCTACAAATGAGTTCTTTATGCTTCACATGACTGTGTTATCTGAAATGTATGTATGTGCAGATATTAGGTGTAGAAGGTGCATCCCTTCCTTGAACTGACACTACTGCACTGTTAAATAGAAACTTGTGCTCTAGATGTTAGTGACACTTAACATTGCATTTTAAATCAAGAGTGTTGATGGATGCTTACTTTCTTCTTTTTTCTTTTCTTTTTCTTTTTTAATTTTAGGATTAAAGAGCCCCTTCAGGACAGTGTAATAGCTACCTATGAAGAACATGAAGATAGTGTATATGCAGTTGAATGGTCCTCAGCAGACCCATGGCTATTTGCCTCTTTAAGCTATGATGGGAGACTTGTTATTAACAGGGTTCCAAGAGCTCTTAAATATCACATACTATTATAATTTGTTTGGATTATGATGGAATTGTTGTCTTGATGTACACAATTGGTAGGTATTGTTTAACGTTTTTTTTTTCAGGATCTACTTTCAGTTTTATTAAACATAAATACATTTTTGTTAAGAAAATTTGTACTTATATGGATGCTTTCAATTTGTCTTTTGTATTTACCTTGGAAAGTATAATGCCTATTTTAGAAAAGGCCATACTAGTTGTTGTTTTTCTCTTTTTTTTTTTTTTTTTTTTTTTTTTTTGTAGCCACTGAGTGTAGGAATTACAAAATTTCTGGAGGTGCTGGGTGCTCTCCATACTACTGATTTATTACTTCAGCGTTATGCAGATACAGTGGATTAGAGAGGAGTTAACACTGAGATAAAACTGGAACAAGGTGCATGTGGAGGAAGTCATCTAGTCATTTACAAGAATAATATTTTATCTATCTTCCTTATATAAGCAGCCTTCTGTTCTTAGATAGGGTCATGTTCTGCTGACTGTTCTGGTTCACTCTTCAACTACCGTAAATGCAGTTGGGAATGTTCTGAAAGGTTGTCGTAACTCAGTCCAGTATTGTAAATAGTTTTTCTCATTTTGTCTGTCTTAAGAAGGAGTGTTAATCGTGAGGATGAAACCATCAAAGCTGAGTTTTCATTTAAGCTTTACAATAGTATCAAAATCTCACCCTGTAATTTGCAGATTAAATGCACTTTTGTGCTGTGTATTGTTAGAAACATCTATCTTTACCAAAAACTCTTATGTTGTCATGTAATGTAATATACAGTGTTTGCAGAACTTAGTTGTTTTGTAGTATGTGTTGAGGGACTCTGGAGCTATATCGTTAACATGAAAAACCTTTTGATGTTTGTAAGTAATCTCATTCTTATCCTTTTGACTCTGTGCCGTTCTGCAGTATGAAGTAGCAGACTTTCAACTAAGCACAGAACGTCCTTTGCTATATCATACTTTTTGCAATGTATGACCTAGGTATCAGTGACTACCTTGCTGCAAATGCTGAGAACAGATGTTGCCCTGCAGGAGGATGCTCAGAGAACTTGAAATGTAGATGGAAGAGTGGTAACATATTCCTGCACATATTGATACATCCCTACCCACTCAACTTGATGAAAATTCTGCTGCCTATTCTTTGTATACTTAGACTGAACATAGCAGCAGTTATCCCTTGTTGTCTTTACATCACTGTTCCTTCCTGTTGTCTTCAGATCTTGGGTGTGTGTGGTGATGTTGGTTGTGGTGGCATTCTTTAAGGCTACTCTGAATAAGAAATGCCAAGGCCACTGGCATAGGCCAATGGACAGACCAATTCCAGACTCTGCCAGTGCTTCCTAACAGAGTTGCTGTAGTAACTGCTGGAGATGGTTGAGGGGGGGCCTGCTCCTAATCTCTGCTTGTTCCTTACCCACTGCCTGGATTGAAACGTTGCCAATTGTGTGCACTCAGCTGCTGCTGTGGGAACACACTCTGAGAGTATTGCTGGCTGCTACAAACCAAAGTGTCCAAAGTTGAATTCTGTTTCTAGCTTTTTGAAAAACTTGTTAGGAAGAATTCATGAGGGAGTTAATTTAATTATATCTGTATTATTGTTTGTTTATGTGTTACTGCGATGTCTGTCTGCTCCAGAGTGAATGCTTCATTGGAAATTCTGATGGTCTACATTTCTGTGCTAAGGTTTTAAATTTGTGCTGTTTGAAATTGTCTCAATCTGTAATAAGGCATGAGCTATGCGTTTGTATGTTATAAGAAAAATTACTTTTCCAACTCAGTAGAGCTTCAGTTGTTTGAATATCAAAATCCTTGGAGGAGCTGCAGCTTTTGTGGAGCTTTCAGTCTTCAGACACAAAACCCTGTTGCTTTTTTCTTCCACATAAGAAGCCCTGTAGTTTTTCTTTAGTGTACAGCACAGCTCTTCAAAATCTCATCAACATTAGGAATAAAGGTCTAATGAAATTTTATTGTCTGCTAATGTATATGGCTTGTAGTGGGGAGGTGACAGGAAGTCATATAGCCATATGTGGGATTTGGTTTGATTATAATGTGTAATAAAATCTGGGACAGATTTCAGACTAATTTTGATGTAGTTGCATTTTCTTTAATATCGAGAGCTTATATGTGACAGCTGTACCTGCAAACAAATAATAACAAAAAATTATTTCTCTTGTTTTAGTTCTGTCAAATGTGCATAATATCACACAATAGGGAGTAAGAGGGACAGGAAACACTGTGAAGGGAAGGAGTAGCAGGTAAAATTTGAATGAAATGAGTTACAGTAGAATCAGGAGAGCAGTAAGGATCAAGTTTTAATCGTTTTCATTTTCATTTCATCTGTACCAGGCTCTGAGCAACTAGATCTTGCTGTCAATGTCCATGTACATTGCATGGGAGTTACATTAAATGATATTCAGAGTAGTAAAGAGGACTGACTGGAGAACTATGGGGGATCTTAATATCATGGAGAGACTGGATGATGAAATGATAGATGGAATTCTATGCAGAAAATGTGAAGGAAACTTTGATTTTATTGATATGCACTGGTGGTCTCAAGTTACTGTTGTTATGGAAGTAAGATTTTAGGGTTATAGAAGATCTTTAAAACCATCAGCTTAAAGTAGATTAAAATAGTAACTAAAGGGGAATTGTTAGAAAGCAAGCAAAGAAGAAAATAAAGTACTGTGTACATTATGTATATTTATAAATCCATAGAGTATATGCGTCTTAATACATCTAATTGTGTTATCTTCTGTCTTAGAATTGACAGTGCAACTGTATCAGTGGAAAAGTTTTTAGAGAAGGGTGACAGGAATGATGAGTGGCATGTATAGGGATAACTAAAAAGTCTGAGAGGCAGGTGGTTAAGAGGGAGTGATAAAATTCCTTGAAGTCAGAAGTCATGGAAGGAGAGGATGAGTGGGGAGTGATTGTACAGTGATTGTGCTGTGATTTTTTTTTTTTTTTTTTTTTAATTTTTTTTCCTGATGGCAGAACTACAGATTATTAAATGGAGTGGCTGCAAGTACGCAAAATGAGGTTCGTCTTCACAGGGCATGCAGCTGAGCTCCAGCATTCCATTACCGCTGCACCCCATCCTCACTCCTCTGCAAAAAATAAAACCTCCAAACAGACAACCAAATCTCCTTAAAGTTTACATCGCTTGGAAGTAAGCAGACCAGTACTTGAAAGGTGAATCCATTAAAGTTTGTTATAAAAGTAAAAGCTCAGAAAATCCTTTTGAACTATGAATTGCTGGACACCACCAAGAATACTCGCAAGTAATCCCTTTGTGCTTGCCTGGTCCTTATTTGCTTTCCTAGGTGTGCTATTTGCTAGTAAAGGGGAAAAAAAAAAAAAAAGTTTAAAGAAAATAGTAATATATTCTATAAGGTTGTGTCTCTGGTTTTGATAGAACTCCATGATTCTCTCAAAATGCTTTACTTTGGATGCAAGCTCTGTTTTGGGAAGTATTAGGAAGCCTTCACATCTCAAGTGAATCAGTATTCTGAAAAATGTCTACGTTGCGAAATGCTCCTTGGCAAGGAGACTGTGGGGGCAAACTGATTTCTGTACAGGGTTGTCCATTGTTTCTTCTGAGATGCGAACTGTGGTCTGACTGACCCCCCAGCACTGGCTTGTTTCAGTGTTCAAGAGAGAATGGTAAGCACATAGTTACATTTTCAGTCACCTCTTAAATGACTTTTGTTTTGTTTTGCAGAATATATATGTTTTATTTTTGAAAAATTGTATTGTGGTATTCCTTAAAAATGTCAGATTGTCAATGTTGCCACCTAAAAATTTGTTGTATTTCAGATTTGGTGCTGAGAATCTTTTCTTCGTCAGCAGTTCAGTATGTGAGTCTGGTATAGAATTACAAAAATGTTTTCGAAGTTGTTTTTAATGTGAATTCTTAAAGGAGAAAGAATTAGTAGTATTCTTATGGGGGTTTTGAGCATGATCTAAATGGAGTCAATAGAAATCTTGACCGTTTAATAAAAATCTTGAAATAACAATCTGGTTCTCTTTAGCTAAAAAAGATACTAATTTCAAATTGGGGAAAAAAAATAAATAAATAAATGCAAAGCAATACCCTTCAGTGCTGACCTGGATCTTTGCTTGTGGTGTCAGTGCTAAAATTACCCTGACCTGTACTGAAGCCCAGGAAATTAATGAGCTGCTTGTCAATTTTAAAATTAATGATAAATATGTATTGAATGGCATGGATAGACTTGACATTTGTTCTAGGCCAATTCTTCTTATCTCTTACCTTTTCATTCCTCAAAGGTGAGTGAAAGTATCCCCTGTATTATGCTCAACACTAAAATTAGCTGAGAACAGTTGGAAAGAAGTAAGCTGGCTGGCCCTTGCATTTTCCATCTGACAGCAGAAAGTATTGACTCTGTATCTGTCTCTTTTTGGAAATTCCAAATCTTATGGTCTGGAACCTCTTGCAGTATTTGAGACTGAAATTCTTGCAGTTTAAGGTAGGCAGGGCTATGCTATTAAAGGCCATAGTCTGACTGTGGTAGTTGTGTCTGGGATATTAATGATGCAGTAAAAAGAGAGTAATGATAATTGTAAATGTCAGTATTGGATACAAGTTTCTAATGCTGCAGTGTGGCTATTTGCTTTCACAGAATATGTTGAAGGTTGTTTGCTTGTTTGTTTTTTGTGGGGAAGATACAAAGAAGGCACTTAATACTACAATGAAACCTGTGATATGAAAGCTGTTCTGAAGTCCTTGCTTTCTGGAATAGCAAGGAAGAGTGCAAATCCGGTTTAGGGAGGCCTAGCCTTCCTATAAAGGAAACTGCTGAGTGTGAAGCTGTGCATACTCTCCAGAATTACTTGTACGTTGCTCCTGCACGTTCCACTTGCCACTTTGGTCAGTGAGGAACTAGTGAAGTGAAAAGAAAATGACATGAAGTGATTTGGAGGAAAATAAACAAAGGAGAAGAAAAGGTAAGAGGAGGAGTGACAAATACAGGATGAAAAGTGAATTGAAAAAGGACAAGTTCAATGAAAGATCATTTTGGCAAACAGAAATAGAAAGGACAGATGAAATTGGCAATAAACGAAGGGAAAGTTATGGGAGAAAGGGGAAAGAAGTTTTGTTTGTTTGTTCTAGCTATGTTATAAAAGCTCCTTAAAATCTTCTGTATTAGTCTTTCTGCCTTAAATGATTTAAGTGCTAGAGAACTGCTGGCTTATATTTAAGGTTTTTTAGCTCTGTCATTGGAGATGGTTCATAGAGGGTAGTTGCTGACAAGTTTGAATATGAAGAAACAAAGTGACCCATAAGTGATTAATCCTTATTGTTTGGTTTTAAAGGGGTAGGATTTTTCAGCTGATTCTTTTCAGGATGTAACTGTGTGTGTGTGTGTGAACAGTTGTGTTTCATTACAATTCAGTTATCAAACGGGGGTAATCAGCCTGGGAAAACAGCACTCTTAGAGTCTGGAATAGATTAGGTTAGTTGGAATGGGGGATGCACAAAGATATCTGGTGCAACTGTCTGACCATGTCATGGCTAATGTAAAGTTAAAGGATATTATTGAGGGCATTATCCAAATGACTCTTGAGTGCTGACAGGCATGGGTCATCAACCACGGGAAGTCTGGGGAACCTCTGGGAAGTGTTTGTCCACTCTCAAGGTAAAATATAATATATACACACACATATATATTCTTTAATCTGAACCACCCCAATGCAATTTTGTGCCATTTCCACACACCCTGTCATCAGTCACCAACAAGGATTTCAAGCAGGCTGTCTCTTGAGTCACACTAGCTATATCTGCAAAATGTATCTTGTTTACGACTTACAGGGAGAGTCCTAGTGAGAACAACTCAAGATAATTAGATGTGATTAATAAAATATCTGAGGCATATCCTCCTTTCCTTACTGACCTTGCTGCAGAAGAGCTTTGAGCTGCTTTAGAGAAAATACTGAGCCCTTCTGTTTTAGTGCTACAGCAGCCACGACTTCATAAAGGGTTTTAGTGCTCCAGCACAGAAGATAACTTTGGGGAGAAAGAGACGAATGAGTCTTCCTGAATCCAGGAGCCGAGCTCCCCATGTGGAGATGCATGGCAAATTTGTGAGTTGCTGTTGCCCTGGAGCCACAGCAACAGCTGCCAAGCAGCTGGGCTGAGCAGGGAGGACCTCTGATGTACCTTTTCAGCAAATTGTCCATTTATTTTGATTCTACATAGAGTTCAGGATTTTGGCAAGAGGAGCTGTGGAAAAGCTTTTAAGCAGAGAATGGATTTAGGAGAACATGGGAAACATTGGAAAATTCAGAGATGCTGCATACTAATATTCACATAAGCAAGTCTATATGAGCTGAACCCTGGGATGATAATAGACTTGGCAGTCATTTTCTCTGAACCTCTTCCAGTTTCTAAAAATTTGCAGACAACTAAGGCAAGGGAGAGACTTGAAAAACTACAGAAATGGTATTAGTGTTTGGATTAGTAGTGCAGAGAGTTGAAAGAGGAAAATAAGTATGAATGAAGAAATTCTTAGCAAAAATGTGAGAGTTTGATTTGTTTTCATTTCAGCTTTTCTAATAAGCACTACTTGAAAATAGTAACAAATAATCAGAAATGAAGTTGCTGCATCTATGTAGGGAAGTTATAGATTAGCTGTTCGGCGTGTCACAATGCAGACATGAGTATTTGTATAGTTTTCCTGATCACTTTCTTTTCTAAACAGAATGGGTTAAATTTAGTATATGATGGTACATGAACTTAGAACACAGGTGAAGAGGAAAACAAACAAACAAAAAAAACCCGACAACACAAAACCCGATTTTCCTAATTACTGACCATGGAAAAGAGCTTTGGCTTTAAAACAAACAAAAAAACCCCATCCCTTGATTTTTTTTGCACAGAAAGGAGTATGAGTAAAGAATACCTGGAATTTGGCTTTGCAGAGATTGTGAACAAGGAGGTCTGTTTTCCAATATGCAGTTGGTGGGATAAAATACTCACTTGAGTAAATTCAGCTGTGTTCAGGTGTACACCTGAATTATATTGAGCAGAAGTTTCCTCTCTGAAACTGCTTCTGAAAAAGGATTATGCTCCTCAGAATAAGGACATAACAGCATAAACAGGACAGTATCTTCTTAAAATTAAAAATGCCTCTTTATCATTAGGAGGTTGGCTATATAACACGTCAGTTTGAAATATCGAAGAGTGTTGGGTGCATATGTGGCTGCTGATAGGAACTGGTAGGTAGATGGAGCCATAGATACTTTGATGCCATTGCTTTTGTTTTGTTTTGTATCTCATTTTATCTGGGTAAAACAGGAAAAATCTGGTAGATATATTATTATAGGAAAATCTGTTAGCAAAAGCACAAATGAGAGCTTCATCACAATGGGATCAGTTTAATCCTTTGCAAAGCAAATATCAGAGAGCTTCAACAACTGTTCTGACCACCCTGTCAGTTGTGAGTGACAGTTGCTTGGATTCTGCTTCGTAGATGGATGCATATTTCTGATCTATGTTTTAATCATCTGTTTTCACTGTTAATACTGCTTGAATATTTTCAGTCTGTTGTTGGAGTAACTTGCAGAAATCCTGTACAATTTTCTGCTGCAATTCACAGACTTTTTTTTTTTTTTTTTAAATAGAGGGCAAAGCTGCTTTTATTTTTATGCATTCATGCTGCTCTATCAGGAGGTATTCAGGTTTCCTTTCTCTTGTCTGCACCTCAGGGCTTAAGCTACAATTTAAATTCCACTGGTTTTGGACTGGTCATTGCTGAAAACTAAGAAGAACTATGGATGAAGCTTGAGTATGACTGACATGTTCATATTCATCAGAAAACAGTCAGCAGGAAGGAATGAGTAGAGTAATTGTTAGATTGTTCCCTCCTTCACTGCTTGTGCAAAATACATAGGCTGCAGGGAGGAAGCTACCTGAGGTTATTAAGATTAATACTGCTAGAAATTCCAATCAGCTCACACAAGGCTGCTCCTCAAGGCTGTCAGATGCCTACTGCCTTCTCTGATTCAGGTGGGGCCACATCAATTTTGAATTTCCCAACAGAGATTGCTGTGATTTATGAGTTTAGGAGGCTGATAAATATGGTTAGTTGAAGTGTTTGTGAAATAATTGGATCAGAATAATTTCAGTCATCTGTGCTCAATTTATTTTCTTCAGTAACCGCAGGAGGGTGCAGTTCTGCATTGGGAGCTTCATCTCAAGGATTCCTATCACAGGAAAGACTTGTGGAACCTAGAAAAGAGCGACTTAATTTTGCCATCAGGCCTGTTTGACAGCCTTATGAGCTGATTTAAGACCCATCAGAATTGGAGAGTAAGTATTCTGGGCTCTTCCAGTATTGTCCATGACTGAGTCTGAGGCAGTTCTGGTTTGTGCATTGTGGAATAATGTCTGCTGGAAAAGCTAATGAGTTTTACTACCTAGAGTTTGCTAACCATTTTACTGTTCACTGGGGGCAAGGGAGATTGTTTCTATCTGTCTGTTGTAAATTACTTCCTAGTGAGAAGTTTTATTAATATTTCTCTTTTGGATTTTGTGAATTTTTCTGGAGTAGTGATCAGTAACAGTTCTCTCTACAGTGAAGGGAGCTCCATTGTATCCCTGAGGATATTAGAGTTTTGATAAATGTGTCTGAGTTTATCGTTTGTCTTCCCACATACCCCCCAAAAAATTAAATTCTGGGTGGATTGTTCTAGAAAAAGTACTGAACATAAAATGCATTTGCATTTACTACCAAATGTAAAAGAGAACAGGAGAAAGCTTTGTGTGATGATTGAGTGGAAGTCAATAGGGAATGGAAAGCCAAGCAAGTGTTGCAGATAAACATCTTCCTCTTATCATAAACAGTATTTTTATTGTCATCAAAGAGAGCTGCTATCAGGGGAGGTTTATGGGGGAAGGCAATGGCTTCTTTTTGGGTATCTTGAATGTGGAGAGAAATTTGGCAAGCAGGATGTCAGTTCATGTTTAATAAGCTACCAGGTCTAACGCTATTTTATTCCCCATTTTCACTAAGATTCTTGGAGTGAATTTTACTGGCTAGGAATGTGTCAGCAGATTGGGGAAGGCTTATACTTTGTTACCTGATTCTCTGTCAGAGTTGCCACATTCTAGCTCTGTTTTTCCCTTTTGGGTTTTACACCTCATATATTCCTTTTTTTTTTTTTTTTTTTTTTTTTTTTTTTTTTTACTACGGAATGCTTGAACAACTGTTTCCCACCACAACAGCCTTCCATCTGTAATCTTCTGTTAATCTTCGTGGCTTTTCTACAGACTTTCATACGTCCTTTTGCCTCAACTCATCACCTTTTTTGGAATTCAGAACAAAAGCTGTGTAGCATGCCATAAATGTCAGGGTGGCAGAGTGAGAGCAGATTTCTCAGGAGTTCCAGACTTGTAAAAAAAAAAAGATAAATAAATAAATAAAATAAAAGGATGAATTTATTCTGTAATGAGTCAGGGATGTAGGCTGATGCTAGAGATATGCCTTTCCCAAGGTGGTTTATGTAAGTATGAATATACTCATGCTCATGAAACATAACCTGGCCTGCATATGACCTTATTATCTGGTCACCCATGGCTCGAGAGCTTGGGGTAGCTCCTTTTACTGTGTGGTGAAGAATTGCCATGTGCTTGAAGAGGAATAAGTAAGTATTTCTCCAAGCTCTTATTCTCTCAGTGTGCTTGCCTTGAAATTCAGTATTTTAGATCATTTTTCAATACTTAATGTTTATTTTAATTTCATCTACTCATTCAGTTTTATAGAAGGAGGATGGAGGCTTCAGAATTGAAGGAACTGGTAGGATTTGGGGATGAAGTAGTTAGACTACATATAAAGATTTGAGAACGAAGTGTAAACTGGTACCATGTTTTTCAGAGTCCATTATGACAATCTGTATAGTAAGATCAAAATGTATGGTTTTTGGAGACATTGAGCAGCTATATTGAAGAAGAAGCTGGTGCACTAAGTTTGCATAGGTTAAAAAAACAGCGATACTCAGAATGACAAACTAAAATTCATCTACTCACTTCCTGTAACTTTTCCTTAAGTACAGTGTTAATTCCTTGAATTAACTCATAACAGTTCATTTCATCACTTATTTAGAGACAAAATAAGCCCTGTGACTTCTTATGGTCCCACTTGCTGTAGCATATTACTGTATATTGTACAAAACCCTTTTTTGTACTATGGAGTATAAGACCTCTTAGTGATGTGTTCAGTATTGTGGCAGCACCACAATGTAGTACCACGTAAGTTCAAATATGAGTACTAACTTCAAAATATATATTTTTAAGACATCATGTCCCTTTTTAATTGCTCTGCAAGTAGGAAGATTTTTCCATGAATAACTTTTTTGGAATCTCCTTACTGAGGTCTACTCACCATGAAATACACACTGCCTCAGAATGGTGGGGAAGGCATAGTGAAAAATGTGCTACTTAGTTGGGATATGGATATAAACCGAATCAAATTTGGGTTTGGGACTTAGCATGAAATTACAGCACAAAATAACTGTGCTATATGCAGAAAATTTTAATAGAAAAAGTCAAAATTAATGCATTCTGTGTGGTCTTTTCTGTTTGCACAGAGAACAGCAGAAGGGAATGTGGCAGGACTGGCTCACTGGTGTTTTTGCTCTACTGCTGTGAAAAGCATTTTCAATACTTGCATAATTTAGAGCATGACATTATGATTTTCAAAGCTTCAAATTGGAGTAAAGCATTTACATAATCTAATTAAATCATGTAAATGTTTTATGATAATATTCAAGTAAGTGCAAAACTTGTTTCACAGATGCATCCCATTCTTAGGCCATTGGGAAAACCCAATTTAAGCATGCAGATGGATGTTACTAACCATGCATGCTTTGGGAGGTCAACACGGTGCTTACTGAATGCTCTGTTCTTAGTATAACCTCTGACGCCTGTTTCACACAGCATCATCTTTCCAAGAGCTTGAAGGTAAGCTGATACCAGAGGGAAAGGCAAAGCAGATTTAAAAGGCTACTTGCAACCTCTTATAATTTGAATGAAAGTGAAGCTACCGCGATACGTAATAAATTGCTTCAATTTCGGTGAACATTAAAATAATCCCGTGGTGATCCTCTTAGCAGCAGCTCTGCCACATGTAGTATCAGATCTCGCAAAGTATGCATAGTACTTGGATGGGAAGCTACCAGGGGAAACCCCACAAAGCCTCTTGGTGACTACTAGGTTTGTTTTTGCCTCTGGCTGTGCTAACTCACAAAATACTGGAAGCACTTGGCCAGCATCCATGATGAGAGATGCTGTCTTGTAATGAGATTTTTAAGAAATCTTTTTTTGTTTCCAAGCACATTGTCACTAAACTGTCTTCAACAGTAGTTCTTTGTTGAATCCTGTCTTTTTTTTTCTCCTAATACTGCAGTAAGTGAGTCCTAATTTTCCAAATTTAGGCAAGCTAATACTAAGCTAGTACTAGCAGCATTTTTTGAAGTGCAGTGCTGCATTGCTCAGATGAATTTTTGTTATTAGCAAATGTAGGTTCTCTGAGACCAGGTTGCTGTCTCTTCTAAATAAAATCATTGCAGTTTACTTTTATTATTGCCATACTAATTTACTGTAACTGATGACAGAAATGTGTGTATATACTGCCAGGTGTTTTGTGCTTTCACAGTAATTATAATGGCTGGAAAGCACTAGGGTGTTACCTGTTCCAGGCTGCTGATGCAAGTGGTGTGCTGCTAGAAACGTGGGATGGACTGCCTACAGAGTGCTGACCTGGTTTGTGCATATATTATAACTGTGATGTTAGTCCACCAGCACTCATTTTTATCCAAAAGTGATATAAGGGAAGCCTGTATCTAACATACCTCTCAATTTAGCTATTATAATTGTATTATTTACTGCCGCAACACATAATAATATGCAAAATAGTAAATTGGCTTGGAGCTCAGTGGTATGGGGAGCTCTGGATACATTAAATTCATGTCTGAAGTAGCTCTCAGAAAGGTGAAATATACCAGCAATGAATTAAGTATTTGCTAATTAGACATAGAAATATAATTACTTAACAGATTTTTCATCTGATTTTTGAGGGAGTAAAGCCAGTGTAAATTTAAAATGGAAGCTGAGGAGTTCAGCGCATAATGTTAACTGCCAAGGAGAACGATGCAGTGACCTTATTCGCAGCTACACATGCATCATGTGTAGGAATGCCTGTCATAGCCATAATGATTTAACATCAGGGCAGGGCAATATTTCTTGGTTCTTCCTCCGCACTGTAGGCAGTTTCCTTTAGAAGTGGAATGGGAAGCTGTAGGTGTTTCTGGTGAAAAATGGTAATGCTGGAGAGGTGCCCTTTACTACAAATCCAGCACTGCTGCTTGCTTTAGTTCAACTTAAGAAAAAGGATTTGCAAAGTCACAGCCTGGTAGATGAAGTCACAGTTGAATGAAGCTTAAGTTTCAGCATGCTTGGATTCTGTATTTTGCATTACTCAGTTGTTGGTTACACTGTATTTAAATATAGTAGGTTACATTGCGTAAGTTTTTAAGGCAGTGAGACTATTTAATTGCAGAAAAAGAATGCTTTTCCTTTAAAATCTACAATATTGTGGTCATTGAAGATGCTTAGATTTAGACTGGAAAGCTCATAGAACCAATGTTTAACTTGAACTGCTAGGACACATGCACAACTATACATAACCAAGGAGTTTTTGTACAAGTATAGTAAAAAAAAAAAAAAAAAAGTATAACAAAATGCCACATGTTAATTGTTGTTAATAGTTCTATTATCAAATCTTTGTTACCTTTCAGTACTGAACTGAGTGTGAGCCTGATATCGCCTCTGTAACTACTAAAAGATCTCGAGTGCCAGTCTTCAACAGTGATAGATAGAGGCTTCATAATTATCTGATCCGCAAATGCCCATGGTCACTGAATCATCTCCACAGTCTACAAGCTGCTCTTTTATTACTGTGTGGAGTGTCTTCACCTATGGCATCCGCATTTCAACACAAGGCAAAGCACTCAAGATTTTTTTAATTGCTGAAAATTGTTGCAGTTTGGTTTTCTTTTTAAATTCCTGCTTCCAAAGTACTTTAATGTTTTCAAAGAATTTGATTTGAAAAGTTTAGGAGAATGTCGAATAAATCGAAGAACAGCTAAAACAAACTTTAATTCTCTCTGCGCACATATAGAAAACTGGTTCTCAACCTTAGCAATATCCCTAGATGCATATTACCTACCTCTGCAACTATAAGATTCAGCTCATAAAACTGAATTACTTTAAGAGAAATAAATACTGAGGAATAGAATGAACAGCAAGAATTCTTTCCCATTTCTCACAGTACAAAATCTACAGGTTAGCAAGTTTAAAACAAACAAAAAATACTTTTTCTTATAGTACATAATTTTTGTGGTAGAACTCATCACATGGTGGAATGAAAACTAAAGGAGTAAGGAAATTAAATCATAGAATCAAAGAATATCCTGAGTTAGAGAATACCCATAGGGGTCATTGAGTCCAACTCCCAGCCCCACAAAGCACCACCCAAAAATCAGACATATGTCTGAGAGTGTTTTTGCCTCAGGAAGTCTTTAGTTTGGATTGCTGGGAATTCAGCAAGTAAGTGAACAATCACACACCGCTAAACTGCTTGTGGTCTTGCATACTCTTAAAGCATTTCTACTGATCTATCTTGGAGTTAAAGTACAGATTAGATACACTTTTAATATGATTTATTAGGGCGATTCTGTCTTCCCTAGGATTGCAGTCTGACCTCCATGAATAACCATCTCCTTATTTAAAGCTATGCCCTTCTCAACATTTTGAGTGGTTTCTGAGCAACTTAATAGATGTGTGTGTGGTTCACCAAACTGCATAGCTGTATCTGGAGCATGCATGAAAGCTACCAGCGCTATGCAAGTAAAACTCGATCAAGGTGAGCTTGATACAGAGCTCACAGAGGGTGATGAAACATTGGCTATAGGCTTGGGTCTAATCTTTAGAGAGTACTTGTTTTGATTAGCAGTTTAAATGAAAAAGAATACCTAACCAAATATAATAAGGAGAAGAGACTTCTCTGTGTTTCATAACAAAATTCCTAACATTGTCTTATCAGACTTTATAAAATTATTTTTAAACATCCTATGCACTGAAAGATGATCTTTGTGAGTATTCAGCTCCTTTGACTTGAGGAGCTGGTGGTGAAGAAAGAATCTGAACTTAGTTTTTTACGTAAAACTGTTACTGGTAGAGACTGGCATGCATTCTTCAGTATTTCTTCTGAAGGTTTTTTTTCTTTTTTTTCCCCATTTAAATTATAATCCTAGCATGTTCCCTATAGCTTTGTAACATATCCATTACTTTTGCTGCTTTCTTTTAGACAGATTTCACAAATGCCATAGTTAGCATCTCTGAGTGCATACTGAACATGAATGGAACAGGGGAGCACGGTCTGATCTTCAGCATACCCTGAGTCTAACATGATTCTTCTCTTGTCCTTGATCAAAGTGATTGACATGTTATTGTGGTTGGCTGAAGCTTAAAATGACACCTGGTTGTTTTTGTTTTCCTTCTGACTTGGGAATGCCCTGGGGCCTGCTAATCTTTGTGTTCTGCATATAGAATTTGTTTTGTCCTCTAAAGCTGCAGTGTCTGTACATATAATATGATTAATTTTATTTGTGTAGTACCCAACTATAACAAAGAAAAATAAATAACATAAATAAAATAAATAACAAGGTAGCTTAAATCATTTACTCAGGTAAATCAGATGTTAGATGTGATGTGCCTGAAAATTTACCCTTGGTGTCTGAGGATTCTGTCCAGAAACTCAGTTACTAGGTCATCTTTTTTTAGTTTTACAGAGGTGTTACGTTTTGTTGGTACTTAATAGTAGCATCCTGATTCAAGGAGGCACCTGTTGATGTAGTTCTATGTTAGATACATTTGTAACTGAAAGAAGATAATTAAATGGTTGATGCCCTGATGTTGCTTTTAAGTGCTTGAGGCAGTTTGGCAACCAAAGTCACATTCACAAGAAGATCCCACCCAGTGCACACAGTTCAAGGTAATGGAGATCAGTGCAGGAAAAAGCAGAAGTGGAAGCAAGCACTGAAACTGGCTCATGTGTTCCATACCTTGTTGTAGGTTGTGGTGATGACTTACTTCCATGCTCTAGTCACAGTCCCATCAGGTTTTCTTTCACCTTTAGGGACTAAAAGAGCAGGTGAAATGAATGGAAGAGCTGTGAATTGTGAGTATAAAACCTCTGCGCTGTGGTTTGGAATTTGATAGTCTTACATGCTCTATTCCTGCAGTGTATGGTCAGTTACTGCTCTGCTGTGATGACATGTGATCTTAAGTGTTAGGAAGGGAGTTTAATTAAAAAAAAAAAAAAAAAAAAGACGTCAGCGCATCTGGATATGGAAAAAAATTTAATTTTGTTCAATTTTTAATCAGACAGCCTGAGACAACCACTGAGCACTACTTGACAATTAGAATACTAATGAACTGCACACTGGGTTAGCCTGTTTTTAAAGGACAGCAAACAGTGCACTGAGAGGTGAGGGATTCAATTTAATTCCACAAGTCTTTATGTATTTTCCTGAATTCTTACCAAGAAGGAAGGTAATGCTTGTCTTGTTGTCTTTTTTCAAAAATCCCACCCCAGAACTAATTATTTTTCAAATGCAAAAATCGCTGTGTGTGGTAAGTGGCTTTCTTGAAAGCATTCTTCAAAAATCCATAAACAGCTTACAACATTAATCTTCACTGTTAAGAACACCTTCAGTATCTTAAACATTTGCTGTTTGTTTGTTTGTTTTCATTTTTCTACTGGAGTATTTGCAACACTTTACCATACCACAGCAGTTTGAAGCCTTCAGCTTTCGTGCTTTCTAGAAATTAGTTTTTGTATTCATTGCTGTAGTTTCACAAAAGGTAGGCAAGTTTAAGGAAAAACTAAATTGTCCATGCCTAAAGTGTTTATTTCTTATAACCTTTATAGGTAGCTACCTATAGCAAGGCTGAATGTAGTAGGAAATGCTTAATGAATTCAAATGAGTTCTGAAACATTAATTAAGTAGTCTAACCATCCATAGTAGCCGTGTCATACTAGTCTCAGTGAGAAATGGATATTTTATTGCCCCCTCTGTGTCACACTGTCAAAATGAATGATATAATTATACCCTGAGAAGAAGGATTTGCACAGGTTTGTATTGGATGCCCTCTTCTAGGCTTAAAAGTTAGTGGAGGCTGTAGTAGGCTGTACTCAGATGCAAACATTTCATTTGCTATTAGAGCCTGGGATTACTGAAATCTGGGGCTACTGGTGGTGTTGTGTAGCCCAGGACCGTGACAGCGGGCTTCCTACTTCTCCCCTTGGTAGGAAAAGCTGAGTTGAGACATGGCCATTTTCACTAAGAGGACAGAGGCAAATGGTACCAGAACTGGGGTGGTTGCCTGCACCCCTCTCTTCCTTCCCATGTCCAGAGTAACAAGATCAACACTTTAGGGCTTTCCATCCTCTTTTTAATTAGCTCTTTTTTTTTTTCCCCTTCCCTCTTCAGAGCAGCAATAGTCGGTAACCAGTACCTTAGACTTGGGGGATAAAATGCACTTCTTTCTATTCTGCTGAGCTTGACAAATTTACTCTGACCATGTACTTATTGCCCTGCATATGCACTATCAGCTTGGTCTCACTGTTACCCAGTCAGAATCTTATACTTACTGGAAAACTGTAGCACCCTAGCCCAACCTCCTGTAGCCCTGAGGATGTTGCTGTGAGATGCAGAGCCAACCTACAGCTCGGAACACCATTTCCCTACCTGACTGTAAAGGTCATTGAGTTAGGCATGGTAACGTGAAACAAGCAGATGTCTCACCATTTTGAAAAAAAGAAAAAGAAAAAAGAAAAAAGGCATGCCTGAAATTTCAGTGATGTCAGTAAACTTTGGTTCTAACACCTAGCAAACCAGCTGAAACTGTCTTTTAGAATTTAGATTTAGTTGGCCATACATTGGAAATTAAACTCCAGTTAAATTGTTATCACCAGCAAATGAGACCACCGTGTTCTAAAAAGTATTTAACATACAATTGCGGACAAGTAAGATCTCTTAGGAATAGTTTAGATTCTATCAAGATGAATGTTTTTCCTGCTGTTATTACATCTTAAGTGCAAGAGCTTCTATTTTTAATGATATACTGAGGTATGGAATCATCTGTAAAGATGGTAACCGTCAGTACTTAATATCTGCATCATATTTCATTCAGCTTCTCTCATCGTTGACAAATAATCCTAGGTGTTATACAGATGCCTTTATTACAGCTTCCTTTGTGAATCTGGAGCCATGTTTTTGATCTGCTTTCACACGGTGTGAACCTTTCAAAGATCTTGACTGGATCGTGAACAATCCAGTTGTGAGAGGAGATGGCAAGGAGTAGAGAAGGAGTTCTGAGAAGAATCTGGAGAATAGCTACTGCTCCAGAGGTATAGGAGTTTGTGAGATAGTTTGTAACAAAAATTCACTGAAATCAGAATAAGAACTTAACTATTCTGTTCCGTATCTTGGTTTTGCTTCTGCAAAAGCCATTATAATGTAAAAGCTAGTACCTGAAATGTGGAAAAGGAATAAATGTGTCACATAGGTGGTGCTCTCTCTGACATAAAAGCAAGATATTTGGTAACTCCTAGATGCCCTGCACCACTCCCATATATGTGT